TCGGTACGCGTGGCTTGCGTTCTTTGCGTGTGCAGACCATTGTTAGAATTGATCGGTGCGCGTGGCTTGGGTAATTTGTTGTTGCAGACCTATTGTTTTAATTGATCGGTGCGCGTGGCTTGGGTAATTAAGAGACCGTTTTCTATTGTTCATTTATGGGAAAAATTGATCTCCTATTTTCTATTGTTTTTGCTGCACTATAAAATAAGCACATTTCAAAACTGGCTTCACTCGTCAGAGAACACTCAACTTGTTTGAACATTATTCTTGCTGTCTATACAATTTCATCGAAACATCAACATGCCAACCTGGAGAACCTTAAGTATCAAAAMGAAGTTTGCTCTAATCCATTTTGAAATAGACGRCACTTTTGCGGTTGTCGAAACGAAGAAGCTACGATCCGATGCTGAACTCAAAGTTGGGTCCGAAGCAGAAATTAAGTGCGGTGCTGCCACCTATAAGGCAAAGATACTTGACTTAAATGGTAAGTACAAAATGATATTAAGCTTAAACAACAATTGAATTCATTATATTGGGTGAAAAATCAATTATAATAATTATTTGCWTTGCTATCCTATAGATTTGAAAGACGTCCTTGAACAAACGCTTGCCACCAATGCTGCAACAATTGAAACATCGCCACAGATATCCCCTCAGCCTACACCGCAACCATCACCGCAACCTTCACCTGATCAGCTATCTACACATTCGACACCACAGCCATCTCCCCAGCCACGCCGAAAAAGAAAAAGGCAATCAAAATCTAAAAAATCGCCAGCTAAAAGCAAAAAAAAAGTAAGTCAATTTTTATAATTTTATTATATACGATTAGATGAAACTATAACAAGATTAAAGCTCTCATGTTTTGAAAATGTACTAACGTTCCTATTTTTGCCCAGGCTACACTTCTTTGCTCTGGAGATGGTCCCGACGAGCCTGCAGAAACTTCAACACCATTACCAACAGCACCACCTGCACCACTACYAACAGCACCACCTGAACCAGTCTCGCCGCTTCCAGAACCCGCACCAGTACCAGCACCACCAGAACCACTCTCGCCGCTTCCAGATGTACCGACAACGCCCTACCTTAACTTTCTAGCTGCTAATTCTACACTGCCATTACTGTCACCATTTACTTCCCAACCAACGCCTCATCGTCATAGAAGTCCGAGTATTGTACGCCGTGTCCATCGCCAGCTATTCGAAACAAYGACTACGACAACTGATAACAACGAAACCACTGTACGTATACTAACTGACATACTAAAACGACTTGACAGAATTGAGACTTTGCTTGCCACAGACAGATGCACTGCCACACCTATTCCATCGACCGTACCACCACCATCATTGACAGCAACACATTCACAGTTATCATTGACCGACACAACGACCACAGACATGTTAGAACTGGACAATCTTGAACTGTACGAACGACTGCGATCAAAATCATCATCATCAGGACATTTTGCGACACTTTTAGTTAAGGAATTTTTTACTGAGGAAGAAAGGGTTAATAGAAATTGTTTGGGGAAAAGGGGAAAGGAGGGACTAGATCCAGTAAGATTAGATAAGATTAGGAAAATTATTTTTACTTTTTACGCTAATGAAAGCAGGGGAAATCGGGAGTTATTTTGGAAAAACTGTGTAATTAGGATAGACGAATTTCTTAGGAGAAAACGGTGTAATAAGGAGTAATTCATTTTTGTTTAGTGAGGGCGGTTTTTCTATTYGATGAATTGAAAGGATTCTGGTGTACATCACATGCAAATTYTCGTAAACAAACTGTTAGTTTTMATTTGATAATTAACTTTTGAAAAATGTAAGGTGTAATGATTCCTGTCTCGAGTTAGGAAAACCGCTCACTTGTAAATAATCGTTCATTTGTAATATTTTATATATGATTATTTTAATGGAAACTTGTAAATACTTTTAAACTAGTGCGAATAAAATAACTTTTCTAAAATGAAAGAATGAGTCTCTATTATCTCTTGATCACGACCGTACCGGATTTAAATAATTAGTTGTTTTGGCGACAAGCCAAAACAGAATAAACTTGTTCGCGAACTTACATGTATCCTGGCAAAGTTCTGATTACAAATGTAACAGGCTACTTAAGCTTTATGAAGGGCAATATCAACTTTATTACCTTCAAGAATCTTTGTAAAAACAGTACCGTTC